AGACAGACAGACAGACAGACAGACAGACAGAGACAGACAGAGGCAGAGACAGAGAGACAGAGACAGAGAGACAGAGATAGAGAGACTGTGTGTGGTGATCAGAGAGCCGAGAAGGACTCAAGCTATGGCTGAGAGATACTAGCAGTCCTGAAGGCACCAGGGTGGTCCCAAGGGGGGGCCAAATTTTAGGACTGCAGCACAGATGGCTCGCTGAAGCTTTGGGCCCTGCACCCTCCATTACCTGAGCAGCCCTTGTTCATCTTCACCTTTTTGTTGTTTCTGGAATTCCAGACATGTCAGGGTCAAGAGAATGAAGGTCAAAAGGAAAGGAATAGAATGTTAAACTTATATTTCAAATCTTATTCCTAATTAGATTTTCCCGATGCAGAAGCTAGAAATAGATATAACTAGGAAAGAGCCAGCTGTGGCTATATTTTGTGGGTGTGCTGCATATTAAATTTCCAGAAGAGGGAAGAGGAAGGTGGGAGGGGGCGGTGGGGAGCAGAACCCATGCTGCTGGCTTTGATGAGGAGGGGTGTGTGTGAGTGCATCTGCTCTGGCCTGCATCTCGGCCATTTATTTTATTTACTAAGTTGTATGTTGTTGCCAGTGGGCAAAGACTGATAATTGCAAACAGACTAGGACCTGCCTGAGTGAGAAAAACCATCATTCAAGCTTTCTTCTGGGAAATATCAGAAAAGGAGCTAAGTGTTTGCACAAAGTGTTTACTGAGATAACAAGGAAGCTTAAATGAACCCTTCTTTCCATGCACCCTTCTGGCTTGTCTGTATATGCAGGCCGTGTAGGGTGCCACAGCTTCTGAGCTGGCCACTCCCTAACTCTTCTCCTGCCCTTCAAATCAGCTGTCATGCAACAGCCAGCATGACCTTTGCAAAATGCAAATTGGATCACATCACAGTTTCAAATGTTCAAGGGACTGGTGAGATAGCTCAGCAGACTAAGCGCCTGCTTCAGCAAGCACAGGGATGGGAGATCCCTCCCCAACACCACATGCCCCACCCATGGGCCCACTGAGCCAGGAGTCTGGGTATGGTGGCACACTCCTGTAATCCCAGCGCTGGAGAGGCTGAAAATAGGAGGATCATTAGGAATCCAACCTGTGTAGTGAGATCCTGTACCAAGTACATAAATTAAGAAGAAGAAGGGAAAAAAGAGGCTCCTACATGTAAATTGGAACCCCTTTGCAGGGCTTCCCAGGCCCTGTCCTCTTCTAATTATTCTCTTCTACTTTCATGGGCTCATCCTTACTGGCCTTCTTGCCCTTTCTTTAAACTCACCAAGCTTTTCCCTCTGGGTAAGCCTTCATTGTGAACCTATTTGTCCCCTGACCTGCCTAATACTTCTCAATTCTTTTTTTTTTAAGACAAGGTCTGGCTATGTAATCTTGGCTGGCCTTGAACTTACCATGTAGCCCAGGCTAACCTCCAACTAACTCATGGTGATCCTCCTGCCTTAGCCTCCCAACTGCTGGAATTACAGGCATGGGCACCACACCCAGCCTCTTCTCCACTTTTTATCTGGCTATTGCCTATTTATCCTTCAGGTGTTGATCTCCTCTGACCTTTGGTACCAAGAGGGGGTGTTTTACAACTATTAGAAGCTGTCTGCACCAGTGATCACCAGTAGGTCCTAGTAATCCTTGTTCCTGTCCTCCTCTGGAGCCAAGAATCTAATTTTGTTTGAGCTCCTGGCTCAAAGAAATGAGATTGAATTGCTCATCCTCTCTTGTGGGTGGGCATAGCCATGGGACTAAAGTGTGGTCAATGAGCCAAAAAAGTCCCTTAAATAGTAAGTTTTTTTTTTTTTTTTTAATCAGTGGTTTAGGGTGGGCATGGTAGCACACACCTGTGATCTCAGTGCTTTGGGAGCCTGAGGCAGAGGACTTGGTAGGTTGAGCCCAGCCCAGGCAATTTAGTGGCATAACAATCTGTGGTTTAATCACTTGAGGCAGTCAAAAAGTTGCCCCATGAGGTGCTGGTCTATTGGAATCCAGCATTCTCTAGCTCAACAATGTGCTATCTTGCCCAGAAATTTCCTACTTACAGTATAATACATAGGGTGATATGTTCTTTATCACTAGACAGCTAGCTCTTTATCTTGGGCTAGTACTTTTCTACCTCTAACTCAAGCTACAATTAATAAGACAAGTTATACAAGCTTAAATACCACCTGGTGCCCCTTATATGAGAACCCCAAAATATAAGTGAAGAGCAAAGTAAGAGATAGATAATCTGAAGTAAGGAGAAACCTTCCCCAAATGGGAAGGAGATTGAGAGATGGAGCATAAGGGGTGGGAGAGAAGAGGCAGGGGTTGAATAAAGAATACAGATGTGTTGTATGTGATCAGTATGTACTGCAGACATGCACTAAGAAAAAAATTCATTAAAAGAATTAATGAAATAAGTTAGCATTTAATTAGAGCTTACAGATGTCCATGCCTACTTCTACTGAGCAGTATCTGACAATATCTGGGTTCTGCTTTATGGGTTTGAAAACCAAAGCCCAGAAAGGTTAAGCAATGGTCCAAAGGCTCTCAAACGGTGACATGGGCCAGGCCTACATGTGCTCTTCACCACTGTGAGAGATCACTTTCCTCTAAGTGTTTGTTTTCAGTTTACTTCCAGCACAAAGTAAGAAAGATAAAGCCAGGCATAGTGGCCCATGGCTGTAATCCCAGTTCTTGGGAGCCTGAGGCATGAAGATTGCTAGGAATTTGAGCCCAGCCTAGTTTCAAGGCCAGCCTGAACTATATTGTGAAACCCTGTGTAAAAAAATGATGACTTAACAAAGTATAGGAAGTAAAGCCATATTGTTATGTTGAGCTGTAGGGGACTCAGGTCAACAACTTCTGATGTTGCCAGTCAAATGGAAGACCCAATACTATTATGGACTACTGGACTCTTTTAGAATATTTTGCTGAGTTCACACACCTATATTTAAATGATGGAACTAAACCAAAAAAGGGGATACAGATGAATGATCATTTTGTATCTGTGTTATCCAAAATGGTTAGGATAGATATTTAGCTACATTCTCTTAATTCAATGAATAGAGAGATTTGTTCTCATAGTGTTTGTAAATAGGATATCATGTCCACATCTTGTACAGCAATTAACCACTAGGAAGAATGTATGCAATGTGTTAATTATTGAAACTGTCCTTCCTACCAATTTGATTTGAAACTGTCTCATTGCTCTTTGTTTCTCAATAAAATTATGGGAAAAAATAAAGTAGTGAAATATGTAAAAAAATGATAACTTGTTTTGTCATGAGTTTTGCTGGTGTAAATGGTTCCCATTGTGACAAAAATCTGTCCTCTCTGATAGCTCATTTTTCTCTTGCTAATCTATTTCTGTTCTTTTTCACCACAAATGGCATGTACTGGGACCCTGGACCTCACTCTACCTTTGCTTTCTGCTTATGGTGTCCTTCGTCTAATTCTCTAAAATCCTGTCCCTCTTAGGTCAACCAAGCTTAAGACTTACTGCTAAGGCATTTTGCAAACCAAGGCAGAGTTCTTCAGGCATGGAGAAGGTAGACTTTTACCCGGGTGTTTCCTGGGATACACTAGACATAAACCTGATGCTCCACAAAATTCAAGTGGAGGTCCAGGAAACAAATCTAAAAGGTAGTCAAATTTTTAAATAGTGCCTTGATTATTTCTCTATTATGATTGGGAACTGTACTAAAAATTAGGTTTAATTTTTTCTACCTGTGTCTCTAACTCATTCTCACTGTTGGAGAGTTATTCTTCACTTTTGCTATGATTCCTCTTCTGGAGCCAAGCCTGCTGTGGTGAAGACACAGACAAAGGGGTCAGAGGAAGAGTTGCCCTGTGTCAAGCATAAAAACTGGGGACCAGTGGAGGCATTTCATGCCCCTTCCTGTGCTCATTCCTGTGCGTGTCCTGGCTCCCACCATCTGGCTGTAGGAGGGGGCATCAGCGGCTGGCCTGATGAGTCGTGTACCTGAAGCGTTTCTGCTGGTGCAGGTCATCAAAGATCTGAGAGAGGGCCTCGCTCTCGCCTTTGGCCATCAGCTGCATGAGGCTTTCACTGGGCTTGGGGGCTTGAAGTTTCTTCTGTATTAACTACATGGAGAACAAACAAACAAACAGGTGGATCTCTACACTATCTTACTATCATGTTCCAAACTCTTGTGTATCATACAAGCAACAGGAAAGGATTAATATCACCTCAAACTCTCCCATGCCAGAGAGGCCACTGTGAGACCTTATCAGTTTATACCCATGTATTGATACTAATATCCTTTGGTACACTAATAGTAATACCTTCATTGAATAATTAAACAGATAGCCTATTGTTATTAGTATATCTTAATAGAATTTATTGTATAACCTACTAATGTATATTTTTAATAAAGCTTATGCTTCTTAGTTTTGTACTTAAATGTAAAGATATCATATATTTATTAAAATAATTTAATAAATGCTTTAAAATTATTTTCTCTAAGAAAAATGCTGTAGGAAGCTGCTTTTTATTTATTTTTTCATTTTATTTATTTATTTATTTGGGGCAGGGTCTCCCTATGCAGTAATTCTGTCTCAGCTTCCTCAGTGCTGGGATTACAGTCATGTGCCACCATACTTGGTTTCAGTGGCCAGCTCAGCACGGGGCTGGCATGGCATGCAGTATTGAGGATCGAACCTGGGTCCTTGTGCTTGTCAGGCAGGTGCTTAGACTGCTGAGCTATCTCCCTGGCCCAGAAGCTGCTTTTTATAGCTGGGCAAAATGAATTTCTTGTTTGTTGCCTGTGTAATGCCCAAGGTGCTTCAGTTATGCTTGCTGGTCATACTCATTTATTCATTTGTCAATTAGTCATTTATTCAGTATTTATTGAATGTCAACTTCATGCTAGACAGTAGGAATACAGAAGTAAAGAAGAAAAAAATCTGCCTTCATGAAATATGTGCTGTGGCTCAAGTCAGATTCACATTCTTTCTGTTTAAAGGCCTAAAAAAAAAAGTCCAGGTGGCTTCACTGGTGAAATCTAAAAATAAAAAAAATTAATTAAAGAAACAATAATAATAATAATCATTCAAACATTCATTCAGAAAATATACCAGGAGGGGCTGGGGAGATGGCTCAGTGGAATAAGCGCTTCCCTAGCAAGCACAAGGGCCTGAGTTCAATCCCCGGTTCCACCAAGAAAAAAAGAAAATATACCAGGAAGCTAGAGGAATGGGAAATGCTTCCTGACTCACAAGGAAGCTAGAGTTAACTTGATACCAAAGCCAGAGTTTCCCAAAAATAACCATAAGAAAACTATAGATCAGTATGCCTCTTGAATACAAGTGCAAAAATCATCTACATATGGTAGTAAGCTGAATACAATAACATAGAAAAAGAATTATATGAGCAAAAACAAGTGGAACTTAGTGTAAGATATAAAGTTGTTTTAACATAGAAAAAACAGTTAATGTAATAGATTATATCATCAGAATAAAGGAAAGACAACACAATCATCTTCATAGATGCAGAAAAGGCATTAAACAAAATTCAATCGTCATTTGTGATGAAAATGTTCAATTAAAGAAAGAATGCAGTGCTGGGTTGGTAGCACATGCCTGCTATGCTAGCACTCAGGAGGCTGAGGCAAGAGGGTCACTGAGGATCTGAGGCCAGCCTGGACTACATAGTGAATTAAAACAACAACAACACTAACAACAGGATGAAGGGCATGTCCTCAACTTAATAAAGGACATCTGCAAAAATCCCACAGTTAGCATCAGACATAGATGATGGAAGACTAAATGAGCACATTTTTGCTAAGCTGGCAGCAAGACGAAAACATCTGTTTTTACCTGTACTGGAGTTTTCTAGCTAATGCAATAAGATAATAAAGAAACAAATAAAAAGAAGAAGAAGAAGAAGAAGAAGAAGAAGAAGAAGAAGAAGAAGAAGAAGAAGAAGAAGAAGAAGAAGCAGCATCCAGATTGGAGATGAAGAAGTAAAACTTACAAGATTAATACTCAAAATCAGTCACATTTCTATATACTGTCAATGACTGACCCAAAAATGAAATTAATTAAAAAAATAATAAAAACAAAAATGAAATTTAAAAAGCACAATTCTATTCAAAATAGCATCAGCAAAAATAAAATACTGAGCAATACATTTAAGAAAAAACATAGAACTTCATTTATTGAAAATCACAAAATATTTCTCAGAAAAAATAAAGAAGCTCAAAATATGAATGATCAAAATATGCAGTGAATGTTTAAATTCAAAAATTGACTACAGTGAAAAGCACATTGGCATTAACCCCCTTCAAAATATTCCCCCTTGCTTCAAACACTTATGTCATCATTCTTGCCATTTTCTGAAGCAGTTCTGGAAGAAAATCCTTTCATTTAGCATCTGTATTAGGTGTCGTAAAAATCCTTGGAGAATGTTACTGCCAAGGGCCATCCCATGGAGAGGCAGGCTTGTAAAAACATGTGTCCTCGTCTGCTTCATTCATGGGGTCTGGCACCATGCAAGTTCTGAGTATCCCCCAAAGTCAAAATAACCATGAAAGGTAAATGTTTTTAATTGATTCAGGACACTGAAGCAGCACAACAGTAGAACTAAAGATATGAAAGAGGACTTCAGAACTGAAGCAAGTGATAAGAATAGTGGGATAAGTGCATTCAAAGCAAGGGGGCCATGTTTTGAGGGGGATTAGTGACAATGCCTTTTTTTAAATCTATTTAGGACAGGATCTACCAGGTCTACAGGGTCTCACTAAGTAGATTGGACTTGTAGTGATTCTCCTGTTTTATGCCTCCCAAGTGCTGGGATTACAGGCGCACGTCATCATGCCCAGTCTCAATCACTGTCTCAGCGTGCCCTGGGGGGCGGGCACGTCAGGGATGGAACACTGGTTGCTGTGCTCTGCCTGAGCAGGTGCTTTAGTCCACTGAGCTATCAGGCCGGCCCCAGTGGCAATGCCTTTTAATGTAATAAACTGTTAGCCAGGGTGGGTGGCCCAGACCCATAATCCTAGGTTTGGCAGGCTGAGGCAGAAGAAACACAAGTGAGTTTAATGTCAGGCCAGGCTATTGTTAGTTCAAGGCCAGGCACCATTATTTGGTGAGATCTTGTCTCAAACAAAACAAAACAACCCAAAAGAAACAAACAAAATTTACACATTCATTGTATTTTTAAAATCATGTTCTCACAAGTTGAGATATTGTAGAGGCATACATTGGGAAACTCAGTATTATCAAGATGGCATCTCTTTCCAAACTGTTATACATATTCGATGCATGCTTATGGAAATTCTAGTATTTCTTGTTTTTCTTTGGCAGAAATTGACAAACTGGTGGGCATGGTGACATTCACCTTCCATTCCAGCACTCAGGAGGTTGAGGCAGGAGGATTGCTTTGAGTTCAAGGCCAGCCTGAGCTGCAGAGTGAAACCCTGTCTCAGAAAAAAAAAAACATTTTGACAAATTGATCCTAAAATTTGTATGAAAATGTAAAAGATCTAGAATAGCCAAAATAACCTGGAAAAGAACAAAATTGGAAGATTTATATCACTGTGGAACTTACTATGAAAACTTACTGTGAAACTTCATCAATCAATATTCTGTGGATTGGCGAAAGAATAAGCAAATAGATCAATAGGGCAGAAGTACAACCCAGAAATAAATCGTTCTATGTGTTATGGTCAGTTGGTTTTTCAACAAAGATGTCAAGACAATTCAAACAGGAAGGGGAAATTATTCTCTTAGTTCATTGAAAAGAAAGGTTTATACTAATATTGTAATGTTGTTTGGACAATTAAATGCTGATATTTTGTACACTGAGTAACTAATTTAAAGGTCACAATACACAATGTATTAACCACTTTTACCCTCCTATTATCATGTTTTGAAATTTTGTTTAATTTTTTCTCTTTAAAATATAAAGAATGGTGAAATATTTGAAATAATTGCATGTCTACATGCTAAAGAAGAAAGAAAAAAAAGTGAATGACTTAGTCTTTCTACCATACTCAGAATACTAACTCAACTTGAATTATAGACAGGATACCAAAAGCTAAATCCATGCATCTTCTGGGAGAAAGCAAGATAAAATGTTTGTGATTCTGGGTTGAACAAAGAGTTCTTGGATATAGGACCAAAATCCAGAGCCAGGAAAGAAAAAATTAACAAGTTCATTTTGTCTGAATTTAAAACTTTTGCTCCTTGAAAGACATGGTTGAGTTAAAAACATATTACAGTAATGCATGCATATTCTCCTTTATAGTAGCACAACTCATGATAGCTAAATACTGGAAGTGTCCTATATGTCCCTCAACAGATAAATGGATGAAGAAAATGTGGTAGATATACACGATGGAGTACTACTCTGCCGTAAAGAAAGATAAACTTGAATCATTTGTGGGAAAATGGATGCACCCTGACACCATGATGTTAAGAAAAATAAATCCGACACAGAAGCTTAAATGTCATATAGTTGTTCTTATATGAGAAACCCAAATTATAAATAAGTTTATAATTATAAGTTATAAAGAACAGGAGCCAGGGTTGTAGGTCTTCGGCATAAGCACCTACCTGGAAAGCACAAGGTCCTAAGTTCGATTCCTGGTCCCAAGAAAGAAATTATAGGGAGCCTGCCCCTTAGCTCAGTTCTTTAAGTGGCTGCTTCAACAAAGCAGTCAGGCTCAGGTTGCTGTGGTTTGATCCCCACAACTCAAGCCAGCCAAACCTGCCCTGAAGGCATTCAGAGAAAAAAAAAAGAAATTATAAAGAGAAAAATGAAAAATACATAATAATATATGTGGTGCTCAAAGGAGCACAAAAGAACATAATGGAGAGATAGATCTTTCTCAAACAGGAAAGGATGAAGACATGGGGGAGACCAGGCATGGTGACACACACCTGTAATCCCAGAACTCAGGAGAGGCAGGAGAATCACTCCAAATTCAAGGTTAGCCTGGGTTGCAGAGTGAGACATTGTTTCCAAAAAAATGATAGAGGATCTCTTCTTTTTGCCACTGCCATGAAAGGTTATTGTCTGCCATGTGCTGGTCTGCCTTGGAGCCAGCTGAGTATAGACTGAAACCTCCAGTAACTATGAGCTAAATAAACCTTTCCTTTTAAAAAAAAGATAGAAGGAGGAGAGAGAGGAGAGAAAGGAATGAAAAAAGGAATTAATATATGTTATGTGCATGTACCACTCCACACAAAGAATGTGAACATTACCTACTAAATCAAGAAAATGAAACTTCACAAACAGAGAAAACAGTTTCAGATTATATATCTGATAAGGTACTTGTACCCAGAATATTCAAAAAACTCTTACAGAAGAGTTTAAAAATGGACAAAGTGGACTGGACAGACATGGTGGTACACGCTTTGAAATCCCAACACTCTGGAGGTTGAAGCAGGAGAATCACTGTGAGATCGAGACCGGCCTGGGCTACAAAGTGAGCTCCAGGTCAGCCTGAATTGCACAGTGAGACCCTGTCTCAAAAAAAGACAAAAAATAAAAATAGAAAGGGCAAACTATTTGAATATACATTTCACCAAAGATAACAAATAAGTAAAAAGTCCATTAAAATTGCCTAACATTGGGGCCGGGGAGATAGCTCAGTAGAATAAGCGCTTGCCTGACAAGCACAAGGGCCTGAGTTCAATGCCCGGTTCTGCAAATAAATAAATGTATAAATAAAATTGCTCAACATCATTAGTCATGACAGAAATCAAGAATAAAACCATACACATCTGCTAGAATAAGTATTGAAAAAAAGATAATATCAGTGTTGGAAAGAATGTGGAGAAACTAAAAACTTTATGTGTTAGTGGTGGGAACATAAGATGGCCGTTTTATAAGAATGATTTGCTAGCTTCTTTTTTTTTTTAATAAGCAGAATATATTTATTGAGGGAAAGAAAGCTCCTGTCTGAGAGAGGGACAGAAGGGGAGCCCGAATGGGTAGTCCCCCTTGCTAGCTTCTTTAACAGTTAATTTTCCATATAAACCAGTATTAACATTCTTTGAAATCTAGCCAAGACAAAAGAAAGGAAGACTACATAACAACATTACACAAATATTCATAGCAGCATTATTCATTATAACCCACTGGATCAACTCAAAAGTACATCAGCTGGTTAAGCAAATGTCATTTATCTGTGCTACAGCACGTTACCACTTGGCAATCACAAGGGATGAACTACTCACAGCCTGCAACTCTGCCCTGAGTTGGTTCCATGTAATCCTATGAATGAACCTCAAAAGCATTTTAATTCTTGAAATCCACACACACAAGCCTATGTACTGTAAGGTTTTTTTTTTTTTTTTTTTTTTTTTTTTTTTTCAGACCGGGTCTATGTGTAGTCCAGGCTGGCCTTGAACTCACAATGATTCTTCTGCCTCAGCCTCCCATGTACTGGGGTTATAGCCATGAGCCACCATATTCCAGTGTAAGATTTCATTTATATGAAATTTCTAAGAAACAAAATGGTTTGGTTGCATAGGAATAGGGAATGTCTGCCAGTAGGGAGAGGGAATTCTTCAGGGTGCTAGAGATGGTCCCAAACTAGGTTGTGGCAGTGGTTGACGGTAGTGACGTGTACTTTTCACTGGCAATGTTGAATTATACACTTATGTGGAATGACTTTTAAGGTTAGGAATGATATACCTCAATAAAGCTGCCTGGAAAAGGCCTGAAGCTGAGTTTCCCTTCCTGGGCGCCCACTTGCCAGCTGTCTCAGCCCTACTTCTTAGCTCTGGCCTTAGCTCAAGGCCAGGAGTGATGCTGCTTTACCTTTGTGTCTTCAGATGGGCTGCAGTTGTTTTTGGGTACCAGGCAGTGAGTGACAAGAATCCTAGGGTCCTTGGTGGTGATGGATAGGCCCTCCTTCAGAATCTGTACCAGTCGGACCCAGAAGTGGAAGACAGTCTGAGGGTGGTCCGGGTGGAGCTTTAGGTAGTAGATCTTCTCAGTGACTGTCCTCAACCGCAGGATGCGCTGGAGGTGGTCACAGACCTGGAGCTCCACAAATTTCAATGGGAGAATCCTGACGGCAAGAGGGAAGACACATGGACCACTCTGTTGCTTCTGATCTTACATTATCTTTATTAAAACAAGGGGTGTCTCCTTGAGGAACCAGCCTTTTAGGGTAAGAGAGATAGAGAGAGAGAGAGAGAGAGAGAGAGAGAGAGAGAGAGAGAGAGAGAGAGAGTTCTTAGCATGGTGAGGAGAACAGATACCCCTGGGAAACTTACAATGCAAATGCCTGAAGACCTCCCCAAAGCATCAGACTCACTGGGTCTGAAGAGTGGCCCTAGAATCTGCACTATAGTCTGCACACCCCCCTGCCAGGATTCTTGTGGTGTCCCCTGGACCCTCCTTGAGCAAGATAGCCTAGCCATAAAGTGGTGGGATCATGAGGCTTTGCAGCTTCCTTCTTGATGGTGCAGAGAGACCGGGCACATTTTCCAGCTTGTCCAGTCATTGACCTCACTGCTTCCAGAGAATGCTTCTCAAAGGAGCTGTGAAGTTCAAGGAGCTGGCTTTGGATCTAATCGGTCAGATAGAACTGGGCTGGAGTTGGAGGTACACCAAGAACATCAAGGAGAGATCTGTCAGGAACAGCATGGAGAAATGAGGGATTTTCAGGAATATCTAGAGGTTCATGAGATACCCTACATATTGGTGAAAGACACTTAAACATCCAGAGGGCTGTTTTATTCCAGACAACCATATTACTATATGGGATAGGTCTAAGTGAGACTTTGTCCCATTTACTTTGCAGATAGAGAAACTGAGATACAGCAAATGACTTGTGACTCAAAAATTATTTGAGCCAGGTGTGGTAGCACATACCTGTAGTCCCAGAACTTGGGGGTGGGTGGGGCTGAGGTAGGAGGACAACTACAAGTTTGAGGCCAGCCTGAGCTATACAATGAACTCAAGGCCTGCCAGAACTGCATTAAAAAAACCATTAGAGTCTAGTTACTTACACGCCAAGGACTAGAAAGAACTTGGCTCAGATCTGCCAGACCTTACTCCCTTCCCTCCTTGCCCCTTGGCTAAAGGACAAATGGTTCCTGTGAATTCAGTGGGGGAGCACAGGAAGTGGGCAGGCAGACTTGGAGGCTGGCCCCTCATCCTGTCCACGGAATCCTCCCTCTGTGACATGTGTCCTCTGCTCTTCCAGGGCACTACCTGGCTTGGGTTGCTGCTGTCTATAGAAATTAATGTCACTGCCAGTGCCCTCTTTGCTTTCACCCTACTGCGATCTCAGGCACCAAGCAGTTGGGTCACTCTGGGTTCCTCTTCCCGGTCCCTCATGCCTCCGTCTCCCTTGCATTGCTTACCTCTTCAGGATGATGTTTGGGGCTGTAGCTGGTCTGTTCCATGTCTGGCTCTGCCCCTGATGCCATCTGACACTAGCCATGAGGAGGATGTTGGGAAGGGGCAGGCAGGGCACAGAGGAGGTCACCCCAAGGGCCATGGTGTTGGAGGTTTTGCAGATATTCATCCAGTTTCTGCCCCTTTTGACCTGCAATGCAGCACCCACCCCAGGCGCAGCCTGAGCACATGGCAGACACAGTGGTAAGTTTTAGCTTGAGGTTTCTCACCTCTTGGCTGGAGAGGGAGGCTGTACTGTACACTTGTAGAATTTTTAGCGGCATCCTTTACTTCCATTGTCTGGATGCTAATAGCAACTCCAACTCAAGCTGTGACAACTAGAAATGTCCCCAGGTATTGTCAAATATCCCCTGGAAGTGAAAGGTGACACTGCTTGTTGAGAGCAAATGTTCTTGTTGCTTACTGAGAACAGGTATTTAAACCCATATTGGGTTTTAGAAACTATAGTAGGGCCAGAAAGATAGCTCAGTGGCATAAGTGCCTGACTGGCAAGTGCAAGGTCCTGAGTTCAGTCCTGGGTACCACAAAAACTACACACACACACACACACACACACACACACACACACACACACACAAACAAAACAAAACCCTATAGTAGTATTAAAACAATCTACTATTAATAATTGTCCATGAGAACAGGATATCATGTCTGCATCTTGTACTATGAATAATTACTAAGAAGACAGCAATTTGCAATGTATTAATTATTGAAACTGTCCTATTAATTGGTTTTAAAACTGTCTCATTGCTATTTGTTTCTCAATAAAATTAATTTTAAAAAAAATCAAATAATTGTCCATAAGAACTTCAACTCAAGAGTTCCCTGATATCTATCATGGGTTCGTGAATTCTCCCTGAACTGTTTCTGGGCTTTCTTTGAAAAACTTGTCCTTTGGGCCCTTCTCTAAGGAGAGAAGAGGGCCCTTCTTTTATCTTTTGCACCTTCCTTGACTTTCCAACTCCACAGCTCCATTTATCCTAGATTTTGTCTGGTCAAGAGGAGCTCAGGCAAGATGACAAAAATTCATCAAGTGCCTGAGACCAGGCACTATCCTTGCAACATTTCCACAATCTCCAAACCAATCCAATCCCCTTACCACTGAGGAAATGGGCTCAGCACAATGACACCTGCCCATAGGAAGTAGAGGTGTGGAGTCTGAGCCCAGTTCTCTCAGGCCCTTCTCCTGTCTGTCCCTGATTAGCATTTCCATCCCTAACTCTCATGAGCCCTCTCTTTTTACTTCCTCCTTAATCATCTAGCTTTGGGAGACACTGTGGACAATGAAGTAATTTGGGGGCTCAGATACCATGTCCTTTACTCAGCAGAGTATGCCTGACCTCTCTCCTCAGTGACACCACCTAATGGAAAAGATCTGGTCCCAGCCCCCTGGGTTCTCCTCACCTCAGTTCTCACTCTACTCCAACTCCAAAATTTTCCCAGTCACATCTTGGCAACAGGCTTAGAGGAAGCAAGGAGTACTACACTGAGCTACCCGAGAGTACCTGGACAAAGTTGCTTTCAAACACCATGGAGTCAGGAAATAGGTTGAATTCTGGAGAATGAACCATCTGGCAGAGCAGTCCCTCCTCCACACCTAGACCCACCCCAGAGTTCAGTTCTGTATCCGCAGGCAGCAGGCCCCTGAATTCTTCCCAGGCATTCAGGGAAGGGAAGGTTGGATAAGACTTCGTGACTTTTACTGTCTTCTTCAATTTACAAGTCTTTCTATGTGGAACTGATGTCAACATTTCTGCACATGCTCAGGGGCCTTTTGCACATTTGTCCTGGGATCTCTCTCCCCTTCTGATCTTGAATGCTGCCCAAGCCTAGGTTGGCGGGTCAGCTCACAATGATGAATGGATGACATCATGAAAAACCATGGCAGACTTCCAGGAAAGGAAATGCAGAAGAGCCTCCTTTTCCTCTAGCGTGTGTTGGTGCTTATTTATGCCCTGGCATTTCCCAGCTATTCTCTGGACTCCAGGATGTAGCTCTCTCAGGAACTTGCTGAGAAAGAGTAAGCCAGGCAGGAAGTAAGGTATGTTAAGAAGCTCGGAGCCAAGAGGAAAATGCCTTCTTGTCTTCCAAACTTTCCTTACTAATGTACATTTGTTTGGCCCAGCTATACCCCTGTCCTTTTTTCTTTTTAGACAAGACCTCGCTAAATTTCCTAGGCTTGCCTAGGCCTCCTGAGTAGTTGGGATTGTAGGCACCATCCCTGGCAAGCCTCCCTCAATCTTAATGCAGCCCACCCTAAACACCATCAAAGGTTGCTCATCTACTCAAACTTCAGCAGAACAGCAAAATTGCTAAGATGAGTCCAGACTCAGCAATGTCACAAGACTCTTTCAAAGTACAAATTTAAAAATTGTAGTTTAGGGGTAGATATCCAGGGCTCAATCCCCAGTACCACAGAATAAAAACAAAACAAGCAGCAGCATTCCCTGGCTTTGAAGGACTTCACCCCGCCCCTCAGACCTGGTCTTTACTGCTGGTGCCAGAGATGAGGCTATTGCTCAGGGCTCGCTACAGCTGACTGGTCACCACTGCAAGATTCATTTCCCTTAGAAGAGTAGATTAGAGGAGCAGGAAAAATCATGAGCTTCTTACCCCAGGCTGAGTGATTATGCTTAGCAACAAGCTGATGCCTGTCCTAGAGAATGATAGACTGAGCCATGGGAAGAAGGAGCTCAATCCAGGGGCAGCTAAGTCAAGGGCAAAAAGCAGGCTGACCACCATTCAAAGACATTTTAGGGAAAAATCTTTTTTTTTTTTTTTTTTTTTTGTTACCAGGCATCGAACTCAGGATCTTGTACTAGCCAGGCAGATGCTCTGCCCCGAGCCATATTCCTGGCCCTATTTTAGTTATTTTTTAAATGCAAATTTTATTTACTTTTTGCTCACACATTTAAAAGAGTAACTTGTTCATTTAGAAATAGAAAACACAAATTTAGACATGGTGGCCTGAGACTTCTTGCCTTTGACTGAGTAGATCCTGCCCATGAACTCTTGCCCTTGTCTCTGCCCTGTCTGGAGAGGACAAGGAGGTGAGAGGCTTTTACCAGATGTGGTTTTTTTTGTATTGGGGATTGGACTCAGAACCTTGCTCTTTCCAGACAGGTGTTTGTGCCGCTGAGCCCTCCATGTGTATTGTTTAAAAATCATATTTCTTTCTCCATAATCTTATTGAGAAACAAATAGCAATGAGACAGTTTCAAATCAAATTGGTAGGACAGTTCCAATAATTAACACATTGCCTACTGTCTTCCTAGTGGTTATTTGTTGTACAAGATGCAGACATGATATCCTATTTACAAACACTATTAGAACAAATCCCTCTATTCATTAAGAGAATGTAACTATATATCTATCCTAATCATTTTGAATACACAGTTACAAAATGGACATTCATCTGTATCCCCTTTTTTTGTTTAGTTTCATCATTTGAATATTATAGGTGTGTGAACTCAGCAAAATATTCCAAAATAATCCAGTAGTCCATAATAGTATTGGGTCTACCGCTTGACTGGCAATGTCAGAAATTGTTGACCTGAATCCCCTACAGCTCAACATAACAGCATGGCTTTACGTCTTCTTCTTCCTCTTCCTCTCCTCCTCTTCCTCCTCCTCCTCCTCTTCTTCTGTTCTTCTTCTTCCTCCTCCTCCTCTTCCTCCTCCTCCTCTTCCTCTTCCTCTTCCTCTTCCTCTTCCTCTTCCTCTTCCTCTTCCTCTTCCTCTTCTTCTTCTTCTTCTTCTTCTTCTTCTTCTTCTTCTTTTGTAGGACAGTTTCAATAATTGACACATTGCATACATTCTTCCTAAAAATTCCAGAATTTTGACTGTCAAGGGCAAATTTGATGCATTTAGAAAAATAGTTTGATAAGCAGTATCTATCTACAAGGGACAAGATTGGAGATTTACACTTGGCACATCACCTACAGTCAGAGACAGGGCTGTGCATCCCAAGGCTTTCTGTCTCATTTTGGTCCTTCAGGGTACATCCCTGCCCAGCCATCTTCTTGTCAAACTCCTTCTTGATGTGGGCCACAATGTCCTTTTCTATGTTATATTTCTCCAGCGCCTGAGTAGTGGACTCCACCAAATCCTGTTGCATCTCTTCTGACATGTCCGCCTTTTTGATCACCACCTTTCGGTCACACATAGTTACCATGGAGCAGGAGCTGGCTGACTGCATCTGTCTCCTAGAGGAGGTGGTGGCCCAGGCTCTGCATTTTCTTTTGCTTCTTGTGTAGGGAAAACGTCCTCTGTGGCAACATTTCCTAAGGCTGGGGTCAGAGACCACACCCTTTGGCTACATTTCACTGGAAATGGCTTGGAAAGGAGCACATAGTATAAAAGCTAAGGTTGTTAAAAAAGATGATGCGTTGCCTTTTGCAGTTAAAGTTTAACCACAACAGTAAGGCCTATTAGCTTAGGTGGCTGGATGTCTCTGGTCATGGAGACATCCCAGGGTCAATAAGATGACTTCTGCTCTTTTCCATACAGCCCCATTAAGCCTGCTCTGTTCTCACAGAATATTGGTTCCTTCTGCTGTGTGTGTGTGTGTGTGTGTGTGTGTGTGTGTGTGTGTGTGTGTGCATTGTCTTTTTAAGACAGTCTCACTATGCAGTTCAGGCTGGTGCTGCATGTATTTTCAATGGAATTTTTAAAAAACTTTTTAAAATCTTTATTTGGTACAGGGTCTTGCTATGCAGCTCAGACTTGCAGTGATTCTCCTGTCTCAGCCTCCCCAGCACTGGGATTACAAGTGTGCAAAACCACACCCAGTTTATTCAATAAAAATTTTAATTTATCTATTTGAATCTGTTTCATTGATTTCATTTCTTTCCCATGTTACTCAACTCCTCCCTTTTCATCTATATCTGCTCCAGAGTCACTATGTCTTTCATTACGGTTGTCCTCTCTGTCATTAGCTGATGCTTGTAAACTGCTTGTGGAGAGCAACTGTATTGCCAGTACTGAGAACCCTTGGGAAATGATTATGTCTCAGCGATGTCTCCCAGGTGTAGTTGGCTTTTAGGTTTTGAGTCTGTTGCAAGATCCTACTACCTCTTCAATTTATTGGGGATGAGAAGTTGCTGCCTATTTGGTCAGCCCTCTCTGGTCCTTTGGCACTGGCTTATAGTATTGTTGATGACCCTTAGGTAATCTCAGTCTCGGTATACCAGGAAGAACAGCTGGTTAGAATAATTATGTCACCTTAGGTAAAGTAGCACAATCAGCAAAAATGATAATAGCATCGAACAGCCTAGGAAATGACAAACTGTGGTAACTACTAACTTGCCAACTTTTTTTTTTTTTTTGTCTTTTTGAGATAGGGTCTTGTATCCTAGGCTGGTCTCAGACTCAAAATGATCCTCCTGATTCAGCCTCCTGAGTACTGGGATTACAGGCATTAATTGCCACCTTTAACTGTATGAACTATACTTGTAGTTATATAACAAAATCAAAATGGAACCAGAAAATTGTGTACAGTAAATATACCTTCAATGTGACAATTTTCCCCTTAGGAGAGAAAATTTTAAAGAGGTTAGGGTGAGAAATAAAAGGATAGGAAGAGAGTAGAAGCAAAGCCAGAGGACAAATGTAGATTATGGGAGTTTTGGGAAACTGCTGAAGACAGAAGGGAAAGAGAAGGAAGAAATATAAACAAGAATAGAGCAGAACAAGAATAAAAAACCAGAAGAATATTCATATTCATAAAAATAAGAACAATTAAAAAAATAAAAATAAAGAAGAAAAAGAAGCCCACTTGAGGGCAGGGCTCTGTTGTCACTGGTAGACAGACTGGGCAGACAGAAACCAAAATGCTATTGATTAATCCCAGCAAGCCAGCCATAGGTTTATGGCTGAGTAGTGGTTAATCCCAGTGAGTCTGCACCTTTAGTTCCACAGAAGTTCAGACTGGTTTCTGGCTGTGAGGCGGGAACCCGACCTGTTCAGCCTGCAACCCTGTGGGCTTCCTGCCAGTTTGAACTCAGTTCCTTGTCCTTCTGATAACTTGAACTCAGTTCTACCACATCTTGACAGCCAGCCCACAGCTGCTTAGAGTTCAGAGCTCAGTTGGCCCCTCACCAAGATGGCTAGCAGCCAATCACCCTTGGCGGGGGGGGGGGGTGTGCACATCTGAACCAGAACAACTCTCTGGCCACTGCAGTCCTCTGCATCCACTGCTCCAATCCACTCGTGCAACTTTCTGTAGAAGCCTCTAGGGTCACCAGTAGTTGTCACACATCTGCAGGTTCAAGTCGCCCCTCTCACCTAGTGAGTTAGGGCTCAGGGAGGAAGGGTCGCTCAACACCTACTTCTTTTACATGGAGGTCTCTCTCATTTCACTCTCCCTGTGGGCCTCACTTTTCACTCAGATCCTTGCTGGGCCCCAGGGACCTACTTCCTTCCTTCTTTTCCTCACATTGTTATATTCGACTATCTGACACCAAATGTTGGAAAGGCTGTTTTCCTGCCCCCCTCCGCCATCCTGGAAGTCCGTGACAGGAGAATGAGGTTGGCCAGGTGCTCAGGTGTCCCAGGAAACTGGGCATCGGCTCCAGGTTCCTGGTCAGAACCCAAGTCTTGCGGGTCTTACAGCTTACACAGCTTTTGGAGACACTTAAAAATGAAATGAGTCAGGGAGATAGCTAAGTAGAATAAGCGCTTGCCTGGCAAGCACAAGGACCTGAGTTCAATCCCCGGTTCTGAAAAAAAAAAAAAAATGAAATGAGCAGGTTGAGGACAATTTGGAAGTTAGTGTTAATGGGACAGAATTTCAGTTTG